CCCCCCCCCCCCCAGAACCCCCAACCTCCCCCAGCCTGGCCCTGCCATCCCTGGGCAGCCAAACCCAAGGCCTCACCTACCCCCTTGAGAGCTAAGGTTGCCGGCCCTGCGGGAGCAGTACTAAGTGCCAGGGCCCCACATCCTCAGGCCTCTGTGCTGGGGAGGGCCGTGGTGGGTCGAGCCGCAGACCCCCATTCATATACAAGCTGGGGACCCCCTGGAACCACCCTCACCAGATGGACTGTGTGGAGAGCCTCTCCTTAGTGGAAGTAACCGGAAGTTAAGATGGGCCATAGTTAGGGGTTTGGCCACAGGGTCTCCAGAGGCACAGGATGGGTGGGGTGGGCAGCTGGGGCCTGGGTCAGGGGAAGGGGCACGTAGCTTCTAGGCCCCCGCTTCTGCCCTGCTTTCAGTCAGAGCCCCTTTTGCTCTTTAAGGCAGAAAACATGGGCGGTGACCTTTCAGGGGTCAAGTGGGGACTGCAAAGGGCCCTCACAGACAAAGAGGCAGGAGAAGGTTCCCGGATGGGGTTCCTCACCACACCTGAGAGGCCAGGTCCCCTGAGGCTGTGCTGAACCACACCTGACAAATGGGATCCTGCCCCCTACCTGAGTCTGCCCACAGCAGAACCAGCACCGCCCAGGACACAAGCACACATGCCGGGGGCAAGGCCAGGGCACGAGGCCCGGCCCCGCAGACCTCCTCTTGTGGGGGCCGGCCGGGCTCAGCTCTGCAACCACCAGCTCACCACACGGCCTTGCCGGTATATAACCTCCCCTGTTACATAACCTGTTGTCACACAGAATACTAAAGCTCATTTAAGCCAAACCCCGGGTCCTCACCTGTGGCTGGGAAGAATCCCCTCCCATACCTGTCCCCCAGCTGGGAGGGGCACAAGAGCCACAGCAGAGAGTTTAGGTGCTGGTGGTGGTGACAGGGGTGGGATTCTCAGACCCACCTGTGAGCCGCTTCCAACTCCCCCGGCCATCCTCCCTGAGCTGGCTCCTGGCTCTCTGCCAGAAGCCCCCCCCCCCCGGGGGCTGGAGGCCTGGCTCCCAGGAGGTGCCTATAGAGTCAGCAGCCTGAGGGACCACAGCGTAGCCACCAGCACCTCAGGCTGCCCCAGAAGAGGTGGACCAGGTGCCCGGCTCATCCTGCCCTCACCACTCATCCAGTGGCCTCTGACCCCAGCCTCCTCGGGGCCCAGCCCCCCAACCTGGACCCCTGAAGCAGCCCACGCCTCCCTCGCCCACCGCAGGGTCCACTCACAACACAGAGTGCTGGAGGGGTGGAGCCCCTGCGCCTCTGTGCCAGGCTCGGCTGCTGCCCGCTGGCTGGGGGAGGCGGGGTGGGAGTGGGAGCCACCCTCTCCGAGAACCCACTTCGCTCCTGTCCTCCCCTCTCTTCCTTCTGCATTTTGAGCTAGAAGGCTGGGCCACGGAAGCCCAAGGCGAAGGGAAGCACTGGCAAGAAAAACACTGTCCACCTAGGCCCAGCGGGTCTGCAAAAGAGCGAGCAAGCCGGAGCCAGGAATGGGATGAGCGGGGCCACAGCCCCCCAGGGCTCCCAAACCATCCTGCATCTCAGAAGCCCTCTCCGGGCCTGGAGCCAGAGCCCTCTGGGCCGCATCCATCTCGGTGCCCCAGCCCCAGAGGGAGGGGGAGGGGCTGGGGGGGTCACCTACCTCCTGGGCCACCAGGCTGGAGATGCGCACGGCCCGCCTCACCCGGCCTTTCTGGGCCCTGGGCTGCAGAGCCCCTGTCCTGCTCGCCTTCCCCGCTGGGGCCGCCATGGAGGACTTGGCTCCCCCCAGCTTGCCTGCCCAGGGCCCGAGGGCCCAGCCAGCGCCTCACCTGCACCTCAACAGCAGCCTCAGCCCAGGCTGCGCCCCAAGCGCTGGCGGCCTGGCTCCCAGGGCAGCCTCTGGCACGAAGCCAGGGTCACTGGGGCTGGGCCTCGGGGCTGCGGTCACCCTGTCAGTGAGCGCGGACAGCAGCCCGCCTGGCTCAGGCCGCCCATGGCCCCCTGGTGCCGGCCCCGCTGCCAGGGTGCTGCGCTCTGCCCGCTGCCAGCCCAGCAGCGGCCGGGCACCGCGGTAGGAACCTCGGCTCCTCCAGCCGGCCCCTCCTCCTCCCAGGTCCCCACCCCCGCCC